ATCTTTGAAACAAGCAATTAGCCTCGAAATCGTTAAATTTTCTTTTATTTCCTGCTCTTAAACAAGAGTGCTTCTCAAAATGTAATTGGAATAATCATATTAAAAAAATTTAATTTCAAAAATTAAATCCTGAATCTTATAAATAAAATTTAAATTCGTTTAACAGGTCAGATTTTTACATCAAATCAATTCTGTATTTTTGTACCGTATTTGGAATACCTTTATAATTAATGATTTAATCACGAATATTCTAATCTGTTCAACTCTTCCAAGAAACGATTACAAAGAATTGTTTCGTCGGATGCAATGGATTATTTTGAAAATATTCAAATATATATTTCTGTTTCAGTTTCTACTGATACTGAATATAACATGCATTTTTAAGATTTTGCGCTCTATTTGAACTAAAAAAAGGACTTGAATGCAACGTATTGTTATTTTCGCAAACTGCTTTCTAGTCTCGCAGAATTGTTAGCTAATATTTTCGGAATAAACGAAAATTTATTGCAAGTGAAATTTATTTTTTGATACTAAAAACCTGCTTGGCGAAACAAAAGGCGCAATGAACTGGGTATAACATTGATTATCAATTAGCTTTATTTAGCGGAAGCAGTAATGAAAATTTACTACAACATGCGTAGCCAAGCTCTTTCGAATCTAAAACCATTGTACGCCGCTCTCTTGTACATGATTAAAAAAGAAAAAATAGAGAAAAGAGAGAGATCATGTAAATCTCTAATATTTCATAATTCGTTCAAGCATCTTCGAATTTGTATAATATTTCTATACTGGCACAATATATGGAATAAACTGTCGAACAAAAGCTTTTTGAGATTCTCTTATTTTGAGTGCTTTATAGTTATTTGTTAAACGTATTATTCCGCACACATTTCTTATTTAGAAATTTTTGAGACGCTCATTAATTATATTTATATGATATATCTAGACAAAAAGTACGTACTTGTAAAATACATTCTTGTGAAACAGTAAGGTTTTAATTTAGTGGATTTTTAACGATAAAAAGAGTACAATCACAATATGATTATTGGAATTATTGTAGTTTATACATTGCAATTACAATTACAATCGTTAAATTATTCTAATCTCGATATCAATTTAATTTCGATTATTTAATGTTAATTACGAGGAGAAGTAAGAATATAGAAAGAACATAAATGGAAGGTAATTGTTGAAATTTAGAAGTGTTTCATCATTTGAATTATTGAAAGGAGAAAGAAAGTTTATGCCCTACAAATAAGACCTCATAGTCGTCATAAGCTTATATAAACCTATCATTTTTAATGAAAAATAACGATATATCATTTACCTACTTGGTGAAGCTTCTGATGATTGTGCACCTGTTGCGTTTCTCGCAAAACCCATTAATCCATTTCAGACTTGCAGATGAGGACTGCTGATAACAGGATACTTCAAATTGTTCTGCGGAACGTAGAATGGCAAAATCTGTCACTGATTAAATTGTGTTTGCGCTAATTCAACGTAATCATTTATAATTTTAAGGCCGAAATCAGATTATGTATTGAAGATTGAGAATGAAGATTGAAAATTGTAATTTGGCTAATGAGGATAAAAGAATTCTATGTAGCTCCTATTATTATTTTAATTAGCCAAATTTCAATCTTTTAATCTTCAATGCGTAGTCTGATTTCGGCTTAACGCGACACGAAGTTACGTTTGAGCAAACCATTTTGAAATTCACCAGCGATCGCGACGAGTACGCGATAGTAAGATACATAACGCAACGCATTCGAAGAAGAGAAATGTCCTTCATAATCTAAGCGCGGGATATGTTTTTGGAACATTCTAAATGATAGAGAATCGCGAGGAATGTGAAACAACTCGAGCGCAAAGTCTTCACATTGTGGCGCATTACCGCGTTTACGTGCGACAATGAAATTCGAACTATCAACATCGCGAGAATCGCAATCTTGGAACTATCGATAATCGCGACCGTGATGCCACGTGTTGTTCGCCGAGGAACTATGGTAATAGTAGAGAGAAACCTGAGAATGGCCATATCGATCTTTTTCCTATAAGGGGCTGCGTTGAATAAAAGGAACAACGAACACTGTATAAGAATTTCAACCTACCAGAAATCAAATACTGTGGAATATACAGTTACTGATAGGTTGAATTTTTATTTCCTGTTCTCTGTTCCTTGTTGCTTTTATTCTGCACAGCCTAAGGTCCTGCGCACAGTGGAGGAAATATTTATAGGAACAGGAATAGATATTATAATTTTAACCTATCAGAAACCGTGTATTCCGACGTAACCGGTATCTGATAGGTTAAAATCTTAATATCTATGTTCCTATTTTTAATATTTCCTCCATTATGTGCAGGGCCTAATGCTTTCAAGGTCGGTATCAGACTGTATACGCATTGAAGATTGAGATTGAAAATTGAAAGATTTTGAAATTTGACCGATCAAAATAATAGAAGCTGTAATTCCTTTATTCTCATGGATAAAATTTCAATTTTCATTCTTCAATCTCAATCTTTAAGTCTGACAATGAGTTCTGCAGATCACTCGACCGCGGCGGACGCGTTCGATTTGAGTGCTTTTAATCATATATTTTTGAAAGCGTTGCCGACTTTGATCGTACATTGTTTTACATTATGATTTCAATTGTTTCGCCAATTTGAACGATTCGTTCGTTCGTCCTGACGCGCGTTATTGCGTCTCGTAGACGCAGGCGCCTATAGTGTCCGTTCGAGCTATACCATTTTCGCGGGCATTTCATCATTTTGTTTTACTCACTACATTTGGATACATATCGCGGGCGCTCGCCTGCGGGAGCCATTAAACAAAGAAGAAGAAGAAAAAAAATAATCTTCAAGTCTGATTCCGGTTTAATCTCCATGCACTAGCGGCACCAACATTCATTCTTCAGCTTCGGGAACTACGTACCACATTTATTTTTGTGACACGTCGATATAATCGTATCGTTGAAAGTGTGAACGTGGTCGACAAATTATAGATATAGGCCGGTATTCATAGTCAGTTCTTGTATTCAAGACCGTCTTAAGTTCAGTCTTGAGGAGTTACGAACCAATCAGAGGGCCGCTTTAGCATCTTAAGACATTACTTAAGCAGAGCTTGAAATAAGAACCGACTATGAATACCGGCCAATAGATGTAAAAAAAATTTTTTTTCGACGATGTATATAAATTTATTTTTCAAAGTCGTCGAAAAAAATTTTTTCTTCATATCCATATGAATAATTTGTGGACCACATTCACTTTTAACGATACGATTTTATCGACGTGTGACAAAAATGAACGTATGGTACGTAGTTCCCGCAGTTCAAAAATGGATGTTGGTGCCGCTAGTATACGGGGGTTAGAAAGTTCGAAGCATTATAGGGGCTGCGCAGAATGAAAGAAACAGGGAACAGAAAACAGAGAATAAGTATTTCAGCATTTTCAACCTATCAGTTAAATCATGTACTATGGAATACACACTGTTTATTACACAGTATATGATCTCTGATAGGTTGAAATTCTTATTCTTTGTTAGTTTGTTCCCTGTTCCTTTCATTCTGCACAGCCTTTTACAGAGAAAAGGATGAGATGGTCGCTCTCAGGTTTCTCTTTGTAGTGTCTGTACTACTACTTGCTCTACTTTTCCTCAAACGTAACACGAACAGTTCAAACATAATATCAAGTTGATCATGATATGTATTGATATATGTATATTAGCTTCTTTTTCATTGCCAAATCTACCAAAGGCAATTCATGTTTTAATATATACAGTATCTGAATTTTAAATAGAGTTGCTACCTGACCGATATTCAACCAGCCTGGCAGGTTTTTTCATTCTCCGACCGGTTGCCGGTATTAGGTCTATAACTTAAAACCCGCCTTTTTTTTTTTAAATTAAGCCTCTTTTTGAAAAACAAATTTAAAAAATTTATTAATGAAAGTATTGCCCATCGTTAGATAAGACTTTTCCCATCTTTCTCGTAATAAGCGAATCCCACAGCGAAAGAACGACTTATCTTTGGAGACTATCCAGATAGAAATTCATTTCTCGACTCTTTCGTAAATTTGAGTTAAAATGATTCTTTGTAAATGCGAGTGCCATCGATCGAAACAAGTGATAGTCGGAAAGGGCACAGTCTGTTGAATAAATCGCATAGGGTAGCACTTCTCAACAAAGGGTTTCTTTGACAAGTTTTGTGACGTGAAGTCAAGCGTTCTCATGAAGCTCACTTTATACTGTCTCGTCTCATTTTGATATTTGGTACAGTTATGTAATTTGATGCTCTTATAATAAATTTACATTTTGCCATCAAAAAATTAACGCACTGGCGCCGCCATATTGAGAAAATGGTTTAAAAATATATGTAGGTGAAAAATCAGTTTTTTGCATATATCTTGTTCCATGTGCGTTTGTCGAAAAAAATACTTATATAACAAATTGTAGAGGAGAAAATTTCCTACAGATTCTGTCAACAAACTTTTTGACACATCAATAGTTTATCTGTAACAGTTCATCAAGTAACGCAAATTTTTTAATAATACGTACTATAAATAATTTTTCCATACCACCTATATATATATATATAGGAGGTAAGGTATAAAGTGCGTTTTTTTTACGTGAATTCTCCAGTAGATCTTCTCCACAGCAATAAATTAATTTTATTTCTAGACGTTTTGTATACCCGATGGAACGCGTTTGCTGACAACAGAAATTGATTGTTCTTCGTTTTCGTTATCGCCTACATATAAATAGCTGAACTCATAGTTTCTATTGATAACTAAAATTGCTTATATAATATAATATGTATAAGAAATCAATACGAAATTATACAATATTGTTCTGAAATTATGAAATATGTACGCGAGCATTTAACATTTATTCCACCATTTTTACGCATCTGTAGTGCGTGTAGATAACTGATTAGATAACTAAAAATTTACTGATAAAATATTACATTAATAATTTTGTACCGTATTTGCATTAAAAGGTATCTTTGCCGTAGGTATATCTACGTTTACATCTTCAATATTCAGAGTAATAATCTTCTTATTATAAATGAATGTGATAATGTAAAAGCATTGTGAAAGTCCTTGAATGACAAATTGACTTGGCGTGTGTGTGTTATCTACGAACACGACTTTTTTAAACATTATTGTTATAACAGCAATGTGACACAAAATGCTATTTTCGAAAACGATGTCACACAATAATTTTATTTAATCAGCAATCTACAGTAAAAAGGACGAAATGTTCTCTTATATTCTCAATGATTAGTTGTACAGAATTATTAATTTTTTTACAATTAATTCCTAATTACAAGCAGTTACGGTCTCCTGTAACAATAATGATAATATCTTATACACATACGCTACTTTCCACGATCCAGACATATGTAACTCAGTCTCCGTGTGTCACCCTTCTTCTTTATTTAATATATTGACAGCTAAATTTTAATTAATAATAACAATGAATCAAAAGATAGAAGGTCTATAGCACTTAAATTTAGATAAATGGGAAATTCTTACTAAAAATGTATAGTTAGCATTTTCAATAGACAGATAATCCTTAATAAGTTGTATTATCGTTACAAGCATACGTACGAATAATACTTATCCTTAATTTACGAAAAAACATTATATTGTGTGCATTAACTTTTATATACTACGTAAAACACTTTATCAAAGTCATCATTTTAACTCTAATCGATACGTTGTTAAAAATGTCGTAAATAAAGATCATCCATTATATTAAATACTTTGGAACTTAGTGTTACGTCTAAACTCTGACCATCCGTGTAATAAGATTAAAATGGAGGAATTAAAAAGAGGGAAAGAGTGTAGAAAGATGTAAAACAAATGTCTTGATTCGCAGGTGAACGCGCAGAAGCGAATCTTACGCGCGAGTCGAACGCATTCTTTATCGCTCTGAAAAAATGAGTCAATACTTTGAAAAGGGACGCAATAAAACTTTTTTCTATGAGCTGTGCGAATGTTGGTAACGATAAATTTTACGAATAATTTTATTCATATTCGCATTAACGAATATTGTTGCCGTAGCCTGTAGTTTTAATTTAATATTTAAAGGTATTATTTTTTTGGTATTACAAATGTATAAACATTGTTTAAGTCTCCTTAAATGACAAACTGATTTTGTGTGTGTGTGAACTTATACATATGAGTTTAAAACTTGAAGAAAACATATAATTTTTTGCGTTATAAACTAAAAATCTTAGGATTGAATATGTACCTGTTTAATCTGACTCGTTGCAGTCGAAACTAATTTATATCAAATGTTATGATACAATTGCGATTAGATTTTTTATTATAGCTTAAAATTTTGTAATATGATAACTAAAAGTTTATTTGACGTAAAAATTTTGTATATATGTGTATAGCGCTATAACGTTTGCACAGTGATGTTTATTAAATATCTTCCTTCATGACAGTATATCGATATGAAACACTATATTTGTAAATATACGTTTTGAAAACATGTCGATCTATCAATAAATTAAAACTAAAAACGTAAAAAAGATATGAAAAATTTCAATACATTTTATTGTGTTATTTGACAAAATACACAATAGGCATTTTATCAATTGAGATATCTAGCTCACTTTAACATCAGATTAGCGTAGTGTATAATAATTTTAATACGCACTTATTGTTAGTGCGCACTAGCCTTACCAGTGAAAAATGCTATTACACGTATCCTTCATGCACTTTTAATGCACAAAACTTCTATAACAAATAAATCGGTATTAAACTAAAGAACACATAAATTAAGTATTCCTACATATTGTTTTAGTCATAAATAAACTAATTACAATTTAACAACATTAATTTACATACTCGACAGCTTCATTGTCACAAATAAATTACGTATATACAAATGCGTAAATTTGAAATGATCGCGTTTTGCGTAAAAAATAGATGCAAGTTTGCGGTACTTTATGAATCTAGTGACTTTATTTGTCCCCCATTTTTCTTATGGGAGTTTGGGAGTTTGCAGTTTGCACATCTAGCTTGTTTAACATTGTTAGGTTAGTGTTGGACTGTGGTGTTGACGTTGGTTCACTGTGTCTTTTGAATTTTTATGAGAGGTTTTTTCTCTGTGTTATAGAATACAGATAATTGTGCAAATATGGATAACGATAAGAATACCATGCTCGCAGTTTTGCAGCTTTTGAAGAAGTACAATTTTAAGGTCAGTCAAAAAATGTTCTATCATCTCCAAATCCTAACCTGCTTTTCATCAACATTATTGAAAAATTTAATAATTAAATCCTTACACGCATAATTAGAAACAAATAGCTACATATTTTGTTATTTTGTGTTTTTAGGGAACTGAGGAATTGTTCAGAAAAGAAGCTAATCTTACTGATATTTCGATTGATGACTCTCAACAATCTGATTCTGATGTAACCAGTGTCCTTTCTGCTTATAAAAGCGAGGGAGATCCTGCACAATATGAGAAAGCATACAGTGAATTGAAAAAATTTGTAGAAGGAGCTTTGGATATTTATAAGGTAAGCCAAAGTTATCATTGTATATGAACAAGTGTTTTATGTCATATATGACAGCATAAATATATAGCTTTATATCATATCTGTTCAAAACTTGATTTGTGAATTAGACACTGCTTCCTTTTCATTGTCTCATTGTGCAAGACAAAATAAAGAACAGATCCTAAAACAGCCAGTTACTGCAGAGCTTTAGCATCTATTTTTTCTGTATAGTCAATATATAATCAATAATTATATAATAATTGTAGTATTTTTCTTTTTTATTTTTATTCTGTTCAATGAGATAATGGAGCAAAGAAGCATTTACAAGTTAAATTTTAAGTGAGTGTTTATATTATTTTAGATAATAATTTACTTAATTTACTATATATAAAATAATGATTTATATTTATTAATCCTCTGTAGTACGGATAATATGTTATTCTATATCTTTCATTAACAATTTGTTTCTTTAAACTTAGTACAGATTTTTATATTGTTCCAGACCATATAAAAATTTAAACAGATTTTTGTATAAATGTGAAAGCTTTAACAAGTTGTTTTATCATAGAGATCAAGTTGTATTTAACTTATTTTTATATATTTAAATGTATCTATCAGAGAATTCACAATAAAATAATTAATTATACTTTGAAAGTCCCATATTAATAGCAAAGGATTGATATATATAATGATAGCATTAATATGAACTTGTATTATGCAATATTATATATGCTGCATAAGATTATGTATAATGGTAGCATGAGTTGGGAACCATATTATATCCAGTTTTGGTACACATGTATTTGGAATTGGTTTACAATAATCATTCCCAAGAGGCAAAACAACTCATACAAAAATTCAGTAGAAACTTAGAAGAGTATTATCAGGATGACTTGAAAAGATTATCCAATGTAACAAAACGGGAGCAAATGGCAGGGAATGAATTAACCGATACTTTTAAGTAAGTATAGAAACGAGTAATATATATAATAAATATTATTTAAATCTAAATATAATTTGGCATTTATACTTGCAGATCCAATCAGTTTATAATTAGAATGTCGAGGGATACCCTTTCGATACTAAAACGACATTTGCAAGAAAAGAAACATAGTGTTTTATTAAACATCATACAGGAGCATCTTTACTTTGATATGTATGAAGGTGTTGCTCGTAATAAACAGCAGATAGAAGCAACATCTGGAGCTATGGTAGGAGAGGCTACTAGGCAAGGTAATAAAATTTTGTGTTTCTAACAAAAGAATTATTCTTTATTTTTATGCTTTATAAAAAGTGTCCATTAACAAATTATTAAAATATAGATAACAAGGCCAAAGTCTATTATGGACTTTTAAAAGAACCTGATATTCAATTGGAGACAAATAAAGAAGAGGAAGAAGATAAAGAAGGTGGCACAGATGGTGATAAACCAAAGAAGAAAAAGGCTAAGAAAGATCCTTTGTTTTCAAAGAAGACAAAATCTGATCCAAATGCACCATCTGTGGGCAGAATGCCATTACCCAATCTGTAAGATAAATATGTCTTGCAGATCCTTTAATGACTTACTTCTGTTGATATTGAAGAATTAACAGGATGATTTTTTCTATCTCTTACATAATTTCTATTTTATTAATTTAGGAAAGATGCAGATAAACTGGAAAAAGTTAAGGCATTGAGAGAAGCGATAAAGAGAGTTGTCCTTGGACCTGACACATTACCATCTATATGTTTCTATACTATGTTAAACACTGTTTACACGTAAGTATATGCAATTAAATCGCCTCAGTAATATCCATTTGTAAATATTCTTTCGTAATTAGCGTAACAGCGGCAGAAATAGCAGAGGACTCAAGTTTATTAGCTACTGGATTTAGTGATTCTACTATAAAAGTATGGAGTTTAATTCCACAAAAACTGAAATTAATGAAAACGGGTGAACCATTACAAGACATTATTAGAGAAGCAGGTAATACAAAATCATGATAAAAGGCAATTTTTTACTTATATAATATTTTAAAATATGTTGCGAAAAACTTTATAGACGACGTATTGGTTAGAATGATGGATGAACGAACATCTGAAACTACAAAAAACCTCTATGGTCATAGTGGGCCAATTTATAGTCTTTCATTTAGTCCAGACAGAAATCTTTTACTTTCGTCATCAGAAGATACCACAAGTAAGACTTAATTATATTTATTTATTCAATGTTGTAACAAAAGTTATTTCAGTGTAATTATTATAATGTAATATTAGTACATTAAAATTAAATTAATTAGTGTGTAATAATTTTAATTATTTAGTAAGGCTATGGTCATTGCACACTTGGACATGTGTTGTCTGTTACAAAGGCCATTTATTTCCTGTGTGGTGCATACGATTCTCACCGCATGGTTATTACTTTTCAAGTGCCTCGAATGACAAAACTGCCAGATTATGGGCGACTGACTCTCATCAACCGTTACGAATATTTTCTGGCCATTATTCAGATGTTGATGTGAGTTAACATTTACTATTAATTCATTTATTTGATTATTTATTTGATAGCGTACCATCCTAAAGTCGAGATAAGTCTTATCTCTTGTATGTATACATGTAATGTGTACACAAAGATATATAATAATATAGGACCTACAACTTGACGCCTGTTCCGAGCGGCAGTTTGAGATGTTTACTTGGCAATAGATACTCTTGGTAGCTGAGTGCGTAAAAATTTCTTATACGAGGGGTCTACAATAGAAGTTGTAGGCGGTCATACATCATGGTCGATTATTTTTCTCATATTTAACTATTATTGGTTAATTTTCTATGACTTAAAACTCCACGACCGCTACGATTTCTATTATAGACCCCACGTTAGATCTGCCAAGAATTGAACCTGAGTCCCTTAGCATAGTAAACTCGCGTGCTATCCACCATGCTACGCTTTTGCTGCTTGATCGTTAGATGAAACAATTAATTGTTATTATATTTTATTTTTTATCTTTATAGGTAGTTCAATTTCATCCAAATTCGAATTATATCGCGAGTGGTTCAAGCGATATGACTGTAAGATTATGGGATTGTGTAACTGGCAATCAAGTCCGATTGATGACTGGGCATAAAGGACCGATTTTTTCTTTAGCTTTCTCAACAGAAGGTCGCTTTTTAGCTTCAGCTGGAGCAGATCATCGAGTACTTGTATGGGATTTGGCACATGGCCACCTTGTTGCAGCTTTATCTGGCCATACAGCTAATATTCATTGTTTATCGTTTAGTCGAGATGGCAATATTCTAGTCTCAGGTATTTTTATCATTCATCTCTCAGTTTATGCAGGTAAACTGAGTAAAATATATCGAACAATAATCGATTGTGTCACTTTGTCAGGTTCCTTGGACTGTACATTGAAATTATGGGATTTTACAAAATTAGCAGAAGAGATGAGTTTGGAAGATGTTAACGTTTCACACAATCCAGATGTAAAAACAAACTCGGAATCTTACCTACTACGTACCTTCCCGACAAAAAATACGTCTGTCCTAACGCTACATTTTTCACGTAGAAATTTATTACTGGGTATCGGCATGTTTGAGTCAGCATAGTCCACGAAAACTTTGCCCACACCTTTATCGTTATATAAATAAAAACATAACTTAAATCTATATATGTATAGATTTAATTTACAGATAATTTAAATCTATGAAATGTATCATAAAAGTTATTAATAAATTTTTCACATTTATTAGTTTCTCAGTATTGCCATTGCTAATAAAGATAATATTTAATTTTTCTTGATATGTAAAATATGATAGGATTCAGTAGAAGTTATATTTTACTTAATATTATTTCTCTAAAATGGGATAAAAATTTGTATCTAAACGCTTTCGTTTAATACGCTTATCACTATCTAAAATAATGTTCGAGTAAAATAATTTTATTGTAAAAGTTTACAGAAATCTAATATATATATATATACATATATACTGCTAATTATTATATATCAAACAAAAGTAATTAGATACAAATTCGCGATGAAATGGAAATGTTCTCAGATTTTTATAAATTTTTTTAATTTCCGATTAATTTTATAACTTTTTGAAATATTTCTCAGATTTTCTTATATAAATTGAAATACTTTTTTAGAAGTATTAAGAAAATATCTGTATCTCTTAGAATTTTTCGAATATGTGAAATACAACGTTTCTAAAATATTTTATGCTACAATTTTTGTGGAAATCTTATTAAATCTAAACAAATTTAAAGTATTTTTCCAAAAATTATTGAATAAAAAATGTTCATCACGCGTAGAACAAGCCTATATTTTATATGCGCTATCAATATTAAAATAAAAATTCATTAAAATCTTATCTCATTTCATATCAAATAGAGTATTTCATCCTTTTGAACAACAGTATTTTTAATACTCAAGATAATGTATCTCCTAGTATTAAATTTCAATAAAACGGGAGCAGTACGATACACACGATCGATAATTCGCACAAATTTGTACTCGTGCAATAGCATGCGGTAACCAGTGGGTGAATGGGTGAACGGCGATAGTTCGACAAATTCGATGTCGATCTCGCGGTAACAGCCGATCCGTGATCTGTGTATCAGTATAGTGTTAGTAATGTCAATCGTAGCGAGACTAGCGAGAGGTGATTAATATATACGCGCACACACGGAAAGACCGGTCGAAGCAAAAAAACATTGACAGAAAAAACCAAGTAGTAGGGAAATGAGATGTCCAAACGCGAACGAAAGTAAGTAGGCGGTTCTCCGGCATTCTGGTTTTCACCTGGGCGTTGTCGCCGTCGAGACCGTTGCATTTCACTCTCGCTTTCCACGATGGACGATAACAGCGCGACGAGGTTAGGTAAGTTCGACGTATTTATATTCCTTCGGAGATACACGTTCGAGATATTTTCTTTGTTTTCTCATTCTCTTTTTTCACACACTTTGTACATTTATAGCTGCGGACAGCTACGAAATGGTTAAAGCCTTATACGACTTCAAGGCCACATTTGCCAAGACTCTCAGCTTCCGGGAAGGTGAGTATTTCATTCTGCTGCAGCGTAATGTCAAGCAGAAAAACTGGTGGCAAGTTGTAAATAGAGGAGGACGTCTGGGATATATACCTTCCAATTATGTTGCCTCTGTCAAGGTACGTAAAAATTTATTTTGAGGTACGTAGGAATACTTAGGTTTATTCTATCTAGCTGAACTTAGCTATAATTTATCTTTCCCCTTTTTTCCATATGGAAAGGAAATAGGGTCTATTCTTTTTTTAGTTAAACTCCTTATATTTTTTTTATCTTTTCTCCTTTTTTTTCCATGTGAAAAATGAGACAAAAAAGAGAAAGGATTATCCATGAATCAAGAAGTTCAGCTAAAAAGAAGGTTTTAGAACAAGTCTGTTATATTATCAATTAATTCATAGGCCCAGCCCCAGTTCCTGATTGATTTTTTAGAAGATTGTATACTCACATTGGAAACGGAAATTAAGAAGGATAGCGAATCAGTACAGCCCGATAAGCAAGATCTCTTAGCGAAGCTAACAGAAAGGAAAAAACAAATCGAACTGAGCAAAAAGTCCAAAAGACAAGCGCCTAAACCACCAGATTTAGATTGCAGCATTATATCTAAAGAAGCTTGTGACAATACAGAAGCAGATGTTAGATCAGCGCCAAGCAATACCTCTTACGCAACTGCACAAACAACTCATCGTAATAACACAGATCATATTCCAACAATTGCACAAAATCAACGGCCGAATGGAAACGAGCAACGTGTTCAATCACTTCCTCGTCAATCATCTTCGGATATTGTTCAGAAAGTCCAGACATCGGTTGCAGAAGTTCGTAAAAGCTCGTCGCAAGGTAGCATACAAAACATATGCAGTGGTTCGCCAAATAAAAGTAATTCGCCTGCTAAGATCAGCTCACCAATTAAGAGCAATTCCTTACAAGCTATTAACTCGCGAAGTGCTTATCAATTGCTCGATCAAGTACGCAAAAATACCCAACTTAGTCATGAAATGTCAAAAGTAGCAGTCACAGTCGTAGTATCTAGCCTGCAGCAGTTGCTGCCAGACACTGTAAGTCATTATCTCGATGCTTTGCTGCATCAGCTACAAACACCGTTGAATGTGTCAAAAATGAGTATAGAAGAAACTTACGATGCTAGTAGATTAAAAATTATTTTTACCGAACTGACTTCGTGCAAAGAAGATTCGCAACAAAGAAGTTGGATGCTTTATGAAGATGAATCTATTATTGTGGAATATATCAAAGAATTGACTGAAATATTGGTATATTTTTGTTTTATGAAATGGAGCAAAATAACTTGAATTACATCCACATCACAGATTTAGTATTAAGTTTAACTCTTATAATAATATTGCTTGTTTCTAGATTTAATTAGGACTTTTTTTATTTTACATGAATGCTCTTAAAAGTATTGTCTTAGCTACATCTTTAGTTGTATATCCTATATATTAAAAATTATAATATATGTATTATTCTTAATACTAAAAATGTGGTATAAATATTATTTATTTAATATCTTTTCAATATTATGATTGATATATTCATACATATATCTTTTTTTTTCAGACTAATGCTGATGCAAATGTATCGAGACATGTTTTAAGGCAGGATCGATACAATGGCGTAACTATATTAATACAATATTATCAGATGGAGGCGAGATGGACTATTAGACAACTGTTGTTGCAATCGTTTGGTGTTATGTGCAGTTTAGATCCAGTGGTACTAACTATAATGTTAAATAGTATTCTACCAATGGAATTAGCAAGGTATATGTAATAAGACATTTAATAATGAAGAAATATTTCGCTAATATTTAACTAATAACAAAAATTCTCGTTTTTATAGAGATATGAAAAGTAATCCTAGAAATGTATTAAGATTAAATTATTCTTCATTATTGCTTACAATGATTTTTTCAATGGGTGAACCCATGCCAGTCACGCATTTAGGTGAGTAAAATAGATTGAACAATATCATTATTAAAAATAGAGATTAAAATATATATTCCTTATTGATTCTTTTACAGAACAACTTGGCTCAGACTTCATATCGTTCCTACTGGACCTAATAGAAACACCACCTGATACAGATCTGGAAGATCAAATCCCAGATTTGTTCATAAATTTGATATTATCCTACAATTTACAATTTACAACTTCTGAGAATATCGTTCTAAATGCCTTACGTGAACGAACTGTAGCCAAGACTTTCACTGAAAAAATTTTATTTCTTTTTAATAGAGAAGGTAAACTTGATGCAAGTAATATGTACAATATGTATATGTATGCTAGAAATGATTGAACTGACAAACTTTTAATTTACCACAGAGGATCCGGTACGAATATTTGATCACGAGCCACAACCGCCGCATTCTGTATTAAAACTTTTTGTCGACTTGTTTAGTAATGATGCTATAGCAAGTCTCTTTTATACCAACGATGTAAAAGTTCTTATTGACATTATACTACGACAACTTTTCGACATGTTTCCTGGTGATAAGGTATTACATTATGTTGTGTTATATATAATCTTACATTAAACTTGTTAAAAATATATTTATATACTTATAAAATATTCTATATGTATATTTAATATGTATAATTCTTTAATATATATTGACAGCGTAGACAATATCTGGAGCTTTGCCGCCGTGTTTTACGCACATCTAATTATAATGAGCATCGTCATCGATCTGGAGATTTACTAAAATGTTTTACAAGGTAAAGATGTAGTTGTATATAAACACTCTTTATTACTATTGATTATAAGTATTATCTTATATTCTGAAACTTTATCACATATGTATATGTTGTACTCTGCATTAGGATATTTTGCGAGGAAACAGCAGACAGTCATGAAGACCAGCAAGTAGTACGCGAAATTAGTAACGAATTTCCACATTTATTCAGAATGTGACATTTAATTCCCTCGTCTGATCAAGATTTAGACGAAGATGATTTGCAAACTCTTGTTTAAGTAGCTCTGAGAATTGATTAACGGTAAGAAGAAAAACAAATTTTGTTGATGGCCCTTACGGCTCTTCTATATTTTATCTAGTAAAAAGAAACGCACATATAGCTTATGAAGTGATGATGATATGTTTTATGACTGCCATAAAAGTCTTCATTCTGTTGGTGCTACAAGATGTTACTCTTTGTGTAAATGAACTATTTAGTAGAGAGAGAGAGAGAGGAGAGATATATGAAATTAATTATATATATGCGTAACGTGAAACATAACAAAGAAATCCTTTCCATTCTTATTGTGAGGACCATTGATATCTAAGCATTCCAACATTTACATAATTAAATTAAATTACATTTACTATAGTTAATAATAATATATAAGTAAAATAATTTATATATAGTGGTTACATATATATTGAGATAAACTTTAATATAAACACATGCAGGTACATACATTTCTGTATGTATTGTTAAAAAATGGAGAAATTAAATAAAATATTATTAGTATTATTTCTCCATAAAGTATAGTCTAGTCCACATCTATATATGTCAAAACACACAATACTCTAAGTCATAGAAATTAAATTCTAGATTATATA